TTTCGGCTCAGGTCATGATCCTGGAGTCCCGGGATCGAGTCCCGCATCAGGCTCCCTGCTCGGCAGGGAGCCTGCTTCTCCCTCTGACCCTCCCCCCTCTCATGTGCTCTCTCTCTCTCATTCTCTCTGTTTCAAATAAATAAATAAAATCTTTAAAAAAAAAACAAAAAACTACGTCATAAGATACCAGTAGGCTGTGGCTGGGAGGCCAAACACGACCTCTAAAAAATAATCCAACAAATATATAAAACCCAGGGATCTTCTGAGAGTGATAAGAACTATGTATCTCAAGTGCTCAGCATACAGCAGATAATCAATGCTAACTTCCCTTCACTCTTACCAGGCTAACCTCATAGCTTCACATGTTTTTCGATAATTTTAAAATCAGGCAGCCATTCCCAGAATTGTTAAATATCTTTAGTATTTTCCCTCAAAGGATCTTTTCTTCATTTGGGGAGATGGGATAAGAGAGAGGTGGTGAACTGGAGAAAAGGGACCACGGGCTGAGGACTTCTTAACAGATTATAAACAGCCCTGGTCCTTTTCATTTATGTGTTCTCTCATTCATTCATTCATTCATTCATTCATTCAAATATTCACTAGGGTCCTACAAACCAGGAACGTGCTGGGCCCAAGGAATACAACATTTAGAACAAATGTGGGGCTTGATTTACTAGGGTAGTTTGACACATCAAATCGTACCAATAAATATGAAATTACAATCATGAGAAGTGCTACTAAAGAAGTCATTTCTGGGGCGCCTGGCTGGCTCAGTCAGAAGAGCATGTGACTCTTGACCTTGGGGTCATGAGTTCAAACTCTACTTTGGGTGTAGAGATTACTAAAAAAATAAACTTAAAAAAAAGTCATTTCTAGGTCACTTAATGTTTCAGGACAAAATTCCTGAATTAACAGATTAATAAAACTTTAAGAATTCTGTTCCCTTCTGATAACACACTGAGGCACTGGCCACTGTTAATCAGTATTTCTCCTTCAGAGTCCCCTCTTGAGCCTTTACTAAAGGTACTAATTTCTCTTGCCCTAGAAAGTTCTGATTGCTCTTTAATTTCACTAATTCTGTAATGCATTTTTCAACCTGCTTCTGAGGTTAATTACTAAAACCCAGAAACCTACCTGTGACTTTGAATACCTTTCCAATAAACTACCATGGAACCAAATGGCACCATCATTCAAGCCAGAATTGTAATATATGAGTACCAATGTCAGGGTTTGAGAAAAACACATAAAAAGCCAAATCACTGCCAAAAATATTAACGGCACATAGATTTTTTCAGAGTTTTGTTACACATCAGCTGTACTCTTCACATCACCATGTTCTGCCACGAATGCGAACACCAGGTAACACGTGGCATTACAGGGAGGTGTGAGAAGCAGTAAAACTTGGCAGTGGCAACAGGCACGTTGAGAGGGGAATTCTGGCTACAGAATGAAGGGGAAGAAGCGTAAGGACTAAGGCAATGGCAAGATGTATGGAAAACAGGGAATCCAAGAAGTGAACAGAAATAAAGAACTACTGGGGCGCCTGGGTTGCTCAGATGGTTAAGCGTCTGCCTTCGGCTCAGGTCATGATCCCAGGGTCCTGGGATCGAGCCCCACATCGGGCTCCTGGCTCAGCAGAGCCTGCTTCTCCCTCTCTCTCTGCCTCTCTCCCTGCTCATGCTCTCTCTCTCTCTCTCTCTGTATCTCTGTGTCTCAAATGAATAAATAAAATCTTTAAAAAAAAAAGAAATAAAGAACTACTACCAAAAAAAAAAACAGGAACAAAAATACCCACTAGATCAAGGAAAACTCAAAATCTAAAAAGACTTGGCCAGAACATGACAGATGAATAAAAGGTAAGTATGACATGAAGACTGTGATTAAAAAAAATAGCTTATGATGCCTCCCTCACAAAAAATTCAATTGGGGACCAATTTAGTACCATGTGGTACAGGCACATTGGGTACAAAGGGACCCTTCCAATTCTACTCCTTGCCCATTCTAGGGCTTCAGCACTGACTGCAGAGAAGAGCTAAAGCACTTGACCCAGCAAGAAAGGTACAGAATGAGGACAAACAAGTATACTTAAAAGGAGACCAAATTTGGCTTGATGAAAAGGAAACGGGGCTGCATATACCTGTAAACCGCCTCTGCCAGTGAGAAAGAAGCTCAGAACCAAGCACTGACATTCTATATAGATGACCAAAAAGTGACTACAGATTTTACTAGGATACTTGCCACATCTTTTTTTTTTTTTTTAAAGATTTTATTTATTTGACAGAGAGAGATAGCGAGAGCAGGAACACAAGCAGGGGGAGTGGGAGAGGGAGAAGCAGGTTTCCTGCTGAGCAGAGAGCCCGATGTGGGACTCGATCCCAGGACCCTGGGATCATGACCTGAGCCGAAGGCAGACGCTTAACGACTGAGCCACCCAGGCGCCCGAATACTTGCCACATCTTAACGACTGAGCCACCCAGGTGCCCCAATACTTGCCATATCTTAAACTTACTAGCAAGGAGATCTCTAACATCTTTACTAATATCCTTATTTTACACAGTTTCCCAAAAACAGTAGTGGCAATTCAACATGAACTACTAAAAAAATGCATTACTATGTGGCAAAAGATACCTGCATGACAATATTTGGCCTTCTCTTCACAATCCTGAATCTTGGGCTTTTATAATTTTGCAATTTTCAAAATCCTTTCTACTACTTTACACCTAACAATCTCAGGAGATAGACTACTTTAATAATCCTCCTTTCACAGATTAGTTAAGGCTGACACTCACAAAGTTAACCTTCCTATGAGACATAGAAATCAGCTTAACTAAGCTTCTCCATTCTCATCTCTTAACACTCTCCCCTTCACTCACTGGGCTCTAGCCACATTTGTTTCCTTTCTATTCGGGAATTACACTATTATGGAGGATTGTGATCTTCTCTAAAGAAAGATCTATCTAATTTACCTATGTATTCCTGGGACCTAGCACTTAGAAAGTCAATACATATATAGGGAAAATCACACATGGCTCAAAGCTCAGTACTCTGTTTAGAGTTGATTCTGTATCACAGGTTCAGCCATTGTAACAAAATGTTAATATTACAAAAAAAAAAAAAAAAAAAGACTATTCCAAGTAGGCACACACATGCCTTTAATATAACATCAAAACGTGATGGACACAGTCAATATTGCAGCCATATTCTGGTGCCCAGAGGATCAAACTAGGTGTATAGCTCTCCTTAACAGAACATGCCCACAATAAGGCTTGTTGGAATGCCATACAAGTCAGCACAACTAAAACTAAAAAGGGGTGGAAAAACTAGAATGTAAGAAAATTGTATCATTAGATTTTTTTAAAGTCTTGAGAAAATAAACTTTATTAATTAGAAAAAGGCATTAATCCTAGAGAAAGAAGCTTCAATTCCCAAGAACCCCTACATTCATCAAATTTAAGGAGGGTAACTAATAATAAATCACTTAATATCACAACAGACTCTTGCTTCTCCAAAAAACACTATTTATAAGTCTGATACAATTAAGTAACTCACATTCTCAATGAACTGGGTATTAGACAGCATAAGGAAGTCATTGAAGACATTATGAAGGCGACAATCTGTGGCTTTAGTTTCCCGGATTAGTCCATCCACTTGTTTCTTGATTTCATGGGTCCTAGAGATAGTCTGCTGTGAGAATTCCTGTAGAAACTGTAGGAGCTATTTAAAAAACAAACATACAGCAATATCAATATCACATGCGTCTATTCCGTGCATCAAAAGAAAAAAAGGACCCATTTCTTTTCACCTTTGTGTGAGTGTGTGTGTGCTAGAATGTAGGGATGCCGCTTTTGACAGTACCCAAGACCAAGCAGCACTGAAAAACATTAAAGAAGCTCATCGAAACAGTGGCAAGGAGTCAATGGACACTTGCTACCTCATTTCTGGAGAAATTTTAAAGTCTTGTCTGGTTATCATTCTTCAGAAATCCCAAACGAAGAGCGAAATAACAAACCACCACTCTTATTAAAAAAAAAAAAAAAATGTATTCATATAGGACTTTGGAATCACAGTTTTGAGTTTCCAGGGTCCCCAGCCCTTAAAGTCCCACTCAGGGATCTCTATATAGAGGCTTGTCTACCTCCCCATACAGTCCGGGTCCCAACGTGGAATGGCTTCACTGGTGCCCTAGCAATTCCGCGGCTCTGAGAAAAATCTGCCTCCCTCGGGATGGAGATGGGTGCACCGCTAGAAAACCCAAACAAGGAAGAGAACCCCGCATCTGGGCTGCAGTCCGAGTGGGGGCACTCAGCCGGCTAAGGACGACGGGCCCGCCCCAGCCCAGGTGCCTAGGGTCCGCCACCTTGGCGTTTTTGAGCGCGAGAAAGGACGTGTTATTAAAAATAAGAGAGGCAGCGGGATTGACCGAGTGGAGAAGGAATCGCTGCTCCCGTCCTCCTGCTCGCAGGCCGCGCGTCACCCCAGACGGCCCGCGCTCCCCTCCCGTCCCTGGGGCCCGCCTCTCACGCCCGCATCAGCCGCCAGCGACCAGCTCTGGCTACTCCTGCGGATCTCCTCCACCGACCAGGGTCGCTCCCACACGGGCTCGGACGCCGGCGCCCGCTCCTGGTCCGGTGTCGTCCGGTTCATCTGCAGCGGGAAGGACGGAGAAGAGAGGCTGAGCTTCGGGGAGGCGGCGGCCCCGGCCCACCCCGGCCCACCCCGGCCGGCTCCTGCCCGCCCCTGCCCATCGCCCTCACCATCCCGGCCGTGCAGTTCGGCGGGCTCCGGCGCAGCCACGACCGCACCCGAGGCCCGCAGATTCGCGGAAGCCGAGCCCCGAACCCCGAGCTCCGCGGCCCCGGCACGTGATCGTCTCTCACGTGACCTGGCTCGCACGTGACCGGATGTGCGGCGGCGCCGCCGGAAAAAAGAAGGGGCCACGGCTTAGGGAGTTGAGTTAGAAGACCTGCAGCTGGGCTAAGGTGGAAGGTGGGGGGGGGATGCCGACGGCAGGGGGCGCTGGTGGCCGGGCTGTCTTGGAGCGGGAGGACGCAGGCTATGGCTCCGGAGCACGCTGCCAACCCGGCTTCTCACATGAGGGGAGTCCCGAAACCTGTGAAACAACCCGCCTAGCGGCTTCGGCCGTCGGGCGACGTGGGCGGAGGGACAGCTTTCCCAGCTGCGTCTCTTCCTGGTTGCATCTCCGCTGCTCTTCGCTGCTGGGTCGGCGCCCTGGCGCTCAGTAAGTGGAGGGGGACGGACCAATCTGACCATCACCGTGCCTGCCGACCTGCTCGGTTTCAACTCTTTGTGTAGGTCCTGCTTAAAAAAGCCTTTTACGCATTCAGCGTTGTCCACAGATTCAGGTGCAGACTTCTCGTAAGACAAGCAAAAATCTTTTATAATCTGATCTCTGTTGTGAATATAGCTTCAATTCTCCCAGCTCCCCGCTAGCGTTCAGTGATCCAGATTTTTCCCTTTGCTGAGTCCCTCTTGTGCCAGACCAACTTCTTTAATTAAAAATCTCAGTTTCTTTTCATTCCTTTGTGCCCAGGGGCAAGTTAGTTAAACTCTGTTACCTTTCGTCCTCAGAAAAAGGAAGATACGTATCTTGCAGGGACATGGTATTAAGTGTGGTGATATACTTAAAACAGCTAGCACGATGCCTGCCTCCTGGTGAGCATTAAACATGGATCTTACCACTTTCCCTATGCTCTTTGTCCAACTCTTGGACTTTCTTTTGTTTTTGCCTCTATCACCTCAGTGAAAACTTCCCTGATTATCCCAAGTACAGTTTAAATGCCCCTGTCATTTTCTGTATGTTTGTACAAATATCATAACATTGTATTATAATTTATTTATATATCTGTCTCCCTTTATTAATAATAGCTGGTATTTATGAAGTGCTCAGTATTTACCAAACATTTTATACGTATTAATTCATTCAATTCTTACAATGATCCTGTGAAGTAGGTACTATTATCTTTATATTATAGTTGAAGAAACTGAGGCACAGAAAGATAAGTAACTTCCTCAGGGTTAGACAATCAGTAAAGACACAGAGCCGAGAACCTACACAGTTAGCCACTGTGCTACACTGTAGCTAGTCTTACTCTCTTAAGGGAACTTTATTTTTAAGTGGCTATCTACCAGCCTTCTAGTAGAATGCCTCCCATTCATAAAAAACAAAACAAAAACGTTTCCAATTTGGTAAAATTTAGGTGAGCCAGTTACTGCTCTTGCATCTCATCTGACATCATCAACTTCAGTAGCCAGGTAATGACCCTGGGCTTAATGTGCCTCAAGATCCTTAATCAACATCCCAATTCTCAAAGCCCCTCACCCACACCCTGGACCTTATCCCCTGATTTTCTTTCTTCTAGATCTGGACTGCAATAGAGCAGCCTTTTAAATTTTCAGGTCTTTCTTTTATTCCCTAGTCTGTTATCAACTAACCCAAACCTCATCCCTCAGTCCTCCCCTTTTCCCACAATAACACCTTCTTAGCTTTATTTCCTTTCCTGTTCTGCGTAGCATGCATGATAGTAGCCATCAACTTCTCCTGAAAGCTCTTTAATATCCTCATGTCAACTTTCTGACACATAGCTCTGCTAGCTCCTAACTTTCAATCAGTCCAATTATGTCCTTTCTCCTTTCCTGCACCTAGGTTCCCAAATGAAATCACCACAAATTAATATTCTGCAAATTTGGCTGAACTCTCAGCACTGATGAGCAGTCCTTTTACTTATCCTTGATCTTTATACTTATCCTTGATCAGCTCCCTTCCATAAGTTCACCACAGTTTTTCATATTATCTACCCACTTGCCTCTGCAAGAGAGAACAGACTTCCTCTTCTCACCTCATACTTAAAATGTTTCTATGTATACACACCTTCTGTATCTCATACAGCTCTTTATTTGCACATAACAGAATTTGACTGGCAAACTGACAAAATTGAATTTGGGGTTAAGAACCTACAGGACTCACAGGTAAGGAAAAGCTAAGCAGTCAGGGCTTGGAAAAGGCATAAACCATAGGAACTCAGGAGTCCCCTTTGAGCCAATGCCACCAGAATGACCAAGGTCCAGTCATTTCCCCTCTTGTGTTTCTTTTATGAACTTTCAAATTCCTGAGATAAATAGAATCTGATTGGCTTCTCTTAGATCATACTCCCACTTCTCCCACCTCTTAGTGGGTCCCCAAACAAAAATTTGGGACTGTTACCAAAAGCAGAGATAAGAGATGCTAGGAAAACAAAAACAACAGGCTACATGCTCCCTTTCTTCCAGTCTCTGGAAAAGCTGTCCCCGCTCTTGCCCAAGACTAGTGACCACTATGTTCTTGATGGAGCCTTTCTGGCCTCCTGTGGGATGGTGCTCTCTTGAATTCCCCTTCTTGTCTGTCGAATCCTGCGGTCTTTGCTGGCACTTCTCCCATAGAACTTTTCAAATGTTTTTCAGTCATGCTTTTTATTGAATTTGCTAGAGAATTCTTGCTCTGCTATAACCATGCCTGAGAATTCAGATAAATCTACCCATTGTAAAGTATATTAAAACGTGTTTCAGGGGGCCTGACTGGCTCACTGGGTAGAGCATGTGGCTCATGATCTCAGGGTCATGAGTTAAAGCCCCATGTTGGATGTGGAGCTTACTTTAGAAAAAAAACAAAAAACTCTTTTCATATGCATTTTGATAAGTTCACAGTCTTTTAAATAGTTGTAATAAGAGTTGGGATGTTTTATGATTTACAAGGTTTTATTTTTCACATAGTAGAAACAATGGCATATTCTTATCTTTACTTTTCAGTTAATGACTATAATGTGGTTATTGCTCAAAGTCAGGGACAGGTCTAACAATTTTGTTGAAGACATAAACTTCTCAGCATTATACAATCCAGTATAATATATATGATTTCCTAATAATTTAATGGATGTTTCATTGTTCATTAATATTAGAGAATTTATTTTTTTTAAAGATTTTATTTTATTTATTAGAGAGAGAGAAAGTGAAAGAGAGAGCACAAGAGGGGGTAAGGTCAGAGGGAGAAGCAGACTCCCCACCGAGCAGGGAGCCTGATGCAGGACACGATCCTGGGACTCTGGGATCATGACCCGAGCCGAAGGCAGCCGCCCAACAAACTGAGCCACCCAGGCGCCCCTAATATTAGAGAATTTAATAAGAGAAAAGCCACTGACAAAATCTGCCTTACAACTGAAAATCCAGGGGTGCTTGGGTGGCTCAGTCAGTTAAGCGACCAACTCTTGATTTCAGCTCAGGTCATGACCTTCGATCATGAGATCAAGCCCTGAGTCAGTTCCGTGCTGGGCTTGGAGCCTGCTTAAGATTCTTCTCTCTCTCGCTGCTCCTTCCCCTGCTTGCCCGTGTGCACTCTCTCTTTCTCTTTCTCTCTTTCTAAAAAACAAACAAAACAAACAACTGAAAATCCAGCATTTCAAAAGCTACAGAACTGGTCACTGTTAAGACACAGTGTCACAAAGTCATTGCTGAAGCTGCAGGTACTAATGGAAAAAGTAACAATAATAATACTAATTTTAAAAGCCTCAATTTATCCAAATTTTCTATTATTTATATAATTCATATAAGCAGTGCTAAATATCACACATTTTACATTACAATGTGAGGCAAGGTATTTATAACAAGACAACTGCCATAGCTTCAGTATTAACATATGTAAATGAATTTGGACCCATGACTAAAAGTGCTCAAATTCAGCTGATTTTCTAGGTAATTGAGTGGTATAAATGGTGTGACTATAGCATTAGAGTTTGGGATTGTAACCAACTATCTCTAACCAAACCCCCAGTTCCTTTGCATTAATTGCTAGCCCTCAGTGGTTCTGATAATTCTAGAGAACTTGTGAGTTTTGTTTTATGAGAACCCACAAACCTAAAATATACCTCCAATAATATAGTTCTGATCCAATTTAGTAAGTCTACTAACTGAGTTATATGCTTTTTTTAAAGAAATGGTAGTTATAATTTTTTAAAGATTTTATTTATTCATTTGAGAGAGAGCACGAGAAGGAGGGAGGGGCAGAAGGAGAGGGAGAAGCAGACTTCCTGCTGAGCAGGGAGCCAGACACCGGGCTGGATCCCAGGACCCTGAGATAATGACCTGAGCCGAAGGCAGACGCTTACCCAACTGAGACACCCAGGTGCCCCAGTTATGATTATTTTTAAAATATTATTTTAGTACTTTATTAATTATATATCTGGTAGTTTGGCATAATTGAAGCCCTCATAATTACTACCTTTATTATCATTTTGCATTAGTATATGAAGCATGAGCAGCAAATGTGTGCAACTATATCCCAACAGTGTCAAGCTCTACAACTCTTCAAGTTAGATTTCTTAACTACAAGATAGATTTTACCAATCACCCTTCTCACCAAATTCTTTTTTTTTTTCTTTAAAGATTTACTTATTTTGGGGATGCCTGGGTGGCTCAGTCTGACCTGCCTTCAGCTCAGGTCATGATCTCAGGCCCCTGGGATCGAGACCTGCATTAGGCTCCTCCTTCTCCTGCTCCTGCTTCTCCCTCTGCCTGCCGCTCCCTCTGCTTGTGCGCTCACTCTCTCTCTGACAAATAAATAAAATCTTTTTAAAAAATAAAGATTTACTTATTTGAGAGGGAGAGAGAGAATGAGCGGGAGGGGCAGAGAGAGAGGGAGAGAGAATCTCAAACAGACTCTGCACTGAGCATGGAGCCTGATGCGGAGCTCTATCTCGCGACCCTGAAAGCACGACCTGAGCTGAAACCAAGAGTGGGATACTTAACCAACTTTGCCACCCAGACGTCCCATCAAATTCCTTTTAATGTGACTCACAAAATTATTTATGACATTGTTCTTCCTTTCTGGTAAAACCTCTAGTATAGTTCAACAAATTACTTCCTGCAAGGTGAGTTTATAACTCTTAAAATGTACTTGTAATTATTCTAGGTAGCCTTTATCTGAAGTGTTTTTGAAAACTGATGACCACAAAAATCTTCCATCTTATAACAGTTTCTAACTTAATTTAAGGTACACACTATAATGTAAACCACTAGCTGCTTGCCTTTTTAATAAAGGTAGAATTCAGTCAAAGGTATTAAGTAATTTGTTATGTTTTCTCTATTCAGTATGATTAATTTTGCATCTTTAGGGTATCACAGGCTAAGAAAGCTGACAAAAAAAAAAAAAAAAAAGAGTACATGCTTTTCTGTTTTTATAATGCATAGCTCTCAGATGTCGCGCTGAAATACCCCCAGATTTAAAATATCCATGTGTGAGGCTGACCATCAATGTGTTAACATGTAATGTAAGGATTGATTTTCTAATTCTACTTTCTTGAAAACAAAGTCTAGCCAACCTGCTTTATTTTACAGAGGCCCCTCCAGTGGGCAAGCCATGGTTCTTCTAAGAGTCATTTGAAGTACCGGAGAAAAGATTTTCTCCAAGAACGGGCAGTTCAGAAGCTCCACATGAGGTGAGTCAGAAATGCTTCCCAGTCAGAAAACCCAGACATCAGGTACCCCACAGCAAGTACAACATGCTCTTCTAAGGGATCCCTGCTCTCTGACCTGGGCAGAAAAGCTGATCCACATACAGAGTGACAGAGGCTGATGAGTTATGAGAATCAAGCAGCTTTGCTTGCTGATACTAAACTCTGACTTTATATGTCAGCAAGCAGCACTTTCTGGGCCATCAGGAATGCATTTTTACCACAGCCTTTCTCCCTGCCTCTGTTAATCATTTAGCTCTCTTCTTCTGAGTTTGAGAGTGAGTCAAGGCTTTTAACTCTAGGGTGGCCTGGATAAAGGTTCAAAAGTTGGAATTTTAAATTAGCTGCAAGTCCTTAGAGTTTTGGTACTGTATCACATTAAATAACCCTTCCACATATTTATCCAACCTCCCCTTGCCTCTGCTACTTGCCCAAATGCATCAGAAGGCAGGCCATCTGGTCTGCACCTTCAAGTAATGCCAACATCATTCCCAGAAGCGGTTGGCAAGTCTTATCAGGAAACATTGTAACCTTCCTAGGAATCCAGTTCCTGCACTGACAGTTTAATGAAAGCTAAACTAGGAAATGCTCCTACATCACAATAGTTTTGCTCACCCATTTGCTTCACTCTTGCCAGTAACAAGTCTGTAACTCCTACGTTTGGCAAAGAGATTGATTATATGTAATATTCCAATATTTTATTAATATAATAAATATTTATTATGTATAATTAAATTTTTTCTCATCTTGAAATGTTTTTACATTTTTTTTTAAGATTTTATTTATTTATTTGACAGAACGAGATAGTGAGAGCAGGAACACAAGCAGAGGGAGTGGGAGAGGGAGAAGCATGCTTCCCGCCGAGCAGACAGTCTGACATGGGGCTCGATCCCAGGACCCTGGGATCATGACCTGAGCCGAAGGCAGACGCTTAACAACTGAGCCACCCAGGCGCCCCAAATGTTTTTATTTTTTAATTTGAAATCATTTCAGGTTTATAAAAAGATTGCCAAAATATTATAAAGAATTCCCATATATCCTTTACCCAGTTTCCCCAAATGTTTATAACCTACATAAACCTAGTACAGTCAACCAGTAAAGTAATATTGGTGCATTATTATTATCTAATCTATAGACCTCATTTAAACTTGTCACTTGTCCCATATCCTTTTATCTATCTAGGACCACATAGTACATTTGTCATGTTTCCTTACTCTCCTTTAATTCTGGAAAATTCCTTCATCTTTCTTTTTTGTTCATGACCTTAATGTTTTTGTGAAGAATATTAGCCAATTGTTGTATACAATTTCCCTCAGTGTCCTCATGATTAAATGCAGGCTATGCATTTTCAGCAAGAATACAATATAGAAAAAAACAAATATGCAAAAATATTTTGGCAAACAACGAAAAGGAAAATCTGAGGAGCCCTAGCCTTATCAGACAAGAAAACATACTATAAATATAGCCTCTATAACAAAACTGTGCAGTATCAGTGCATGAGTAGACAAACAGACCAGCAGAATAGAATAGAATAGAAAGCCCCAAAATAGACCAAGGCACATTTGGAAACTTGGAATATTGGTAAAGGGTCATCTCAAGCTACTGGGGCAAAAATGGACTTTCTAAAAAATAGTGCTGAAAACAACTGAGTAGCTATTTGGGGAACGATAAAAGTTAGAACCATACCGAGCGCCTGGGTGGCTCAATTGGTTAAGCGACTGCCTTCGGCTCGGGTCATGATCCTGGAGTCCCGGGATCAAGTCCCGCATCGGGCTCCCTGCTCGGCGGGGAGTCTGCTTCTCCCTCTGACCCTCCTCCCTCTCATGCTCTCTGTCTCAAATAAATAAATAAAATCTTTAAAAAAAAAAAAAAAAAGGTAGAACCATACCTAACACTTTACATAAAAATAAATTCTGGAACATCTGAGTGGCTCAGTTGTTAAGCGTCTGCCCCGCATCGGGCTCCCTGCTCATCAGGAAGCCTGCTTCTCCCTGTCCCACTCGCCCTGCTTGTGTTCCAGCTCTTCCTGTCTCTCTCTGTCAAATAAATAAATAAAATCTTTAAAAAATAAATAAATAAATTCTAACTGGATTAGAGATCTAAATGCAAAAACTGAAACTATGCAAGTACTAGCAGACAACACGAATGACTTCCTCTTTAGCTTCAGTGTAGGGAAAGTCTAACTATGACTTGAAATCCAGAATAATAAAAAAAATTGATAAATTTGCATTAAAACATTTCTCATGGTCAAAAGCCATCATAAACAAAGTCAGAGGACAATTGACAAACCAGGAGAAAATATTTGCAACATATATAACGGACAAATGGCTAATATCACTAACATGTTAGGGGGATATTAAAGAGCTCTTAAAATTGGGGCGCCTGGGGGCGCCTGGGTGGCTCAGTCGTTAAGCGTCTGCCTTCGGCTCAGGTCATGATCCCAGGGTCCTGGGATCGAGTCCCACATTGGGCTCCCTGCTCTGCCGGAAGCCTGCTTCTCCCTCTCCCACTCCCCCTGCTTGTGTTCCTGCTCTCGCTATGTCTCTCTCTGTCAAAAAAATAAAAAATAAAATCTTAAAAAAAAAAAAAAAGGGGGCGCCTGGGTGGCTCAGTTGGTTAAGCAACTGCCTTCAGCTCAGGTCATGATCCTGGAGTTCCGGGATCGAGTCCCACATCAGGCTCCCTGCTCGGCGGGAAGTCTGCTTCTCCCTCTGACCCTACCCCCCTCATGCTCGCTCTCTCTCTCTCAAAAAAAAAAAAAAAAAAAAATTGGGGCGCCTGGGTGGCCCAGTTAAGCGTCTGTCTTTGGCTTGGGTCATGATCCTGAAGTCATGAGATCAAGTTCCACATCGGGCTCTCTGCTCAGCAGGGAGCCTGCTTCTCCCTCTCCCTCTGCCTGCTATTCTCCCTGCTTGTGCACTCTCTCTCTCTTTCTCTCTCTCTGTCAAATAAATAAATAAAATCTTTTTCAAAAAAATTAAGTAGCAAGACACCACAAAAAAACAGACCTACTTGCCAGTATCCCTGATGAATATAGATGCAAAAATCCTCAACAAAATATTAACAAACCAAATCCAACAATACAATGAAAAAAACAACATTCATCACGATCAAGGGGGTTGTATTCCCAGGATGTAAGGGTGTTTGAATATTCAAAAATCAGTCAATGTGATACATCATTTCAATAAGAGAAGGGATAAAACCCATATGATCATCTCAATAAACACAGAAAAGGCGTTGACAGAGTACAACATCCATTCATGATAAAAGCCCTCAACAAGGTAGATCTAGAGGGAATATACCTCAGCATAATAAAGGCCATATATGAAAAACCCACAGCAAACATCATACTCAATGGGGAAAAACAGAGCTTTTCCCCGAAGGTCGGAACAGGACAAGGATGTCCACTCTCACCACTTCAACATATACTGGAAGTCCTAGCCACAGCAATCGGACAATAGAAAAAAGAAAAGACATTCAAATTGGTAAGGAAGAAGTAAAACTTTCACTGTTTATAAATGACATGATACTACATATAGAAAACCTGAAAGACTCCACCAAAAAACTACTAGCAACAGGGTGCTGTTGCTTATCTCATCATTTCTCATTGAAAACCAGGCATTTTAAATAATATAATTTGGCAACTCTGTAAGTCAGATATCTACCATCCAGGATTTATTTTTAGTTAATGTTTGGTGCAGTGGTTGTTGTTATGTGTTTGTTTAGTGACTTTCCTGTACTAATTTTGTAGTCTGTTTTCTTTGTCATGTGTGGCCACTAAAGTCTCTACTCACTTAACTTAGGGGTTAGCCAGTGATTGGACAGAGATTCCTTAAATGCCTGGCACCAGTCAGTTTCCCAGCCTTTGCCAAGGGGTCTGTGTCTATGTGTTAGGGCAAACCCTAAATCTGGCAGTTTACAACTCAGGCTTAGCCTTCACTTCCTGCTTATACAGAGCCTCAGCACTAACCAGAGGTGAGAGATTAGAGCCTTCTCAAGTCTTTCCTGGGCATGTGCACTGGCTTGTACATCAAATGGCCTCTAGCTCCACAGGAATGTGTTGGCATATTTCAAAGTCTTCTATGGACATCTCATTCCCCACATTTCCTTTTCAGTTTTTGGGCAGTCTCTTCTTTGCTCTATTAACTGTTACCCTTTTTCATGTACCTTCAATATTAAACAGCCACTACTGATTTTCTTTTTTTAAACAAATGTTCCAGGAAAAGGCTTTCGCAGTGAGTAAGCTCTGAATGAGGTCAAATAAAGATAAGCCCTGTGAGTGGGAATTTCCAGGAGCCTCTAAAAAGGTCAAACTATGTAATTCTCTTGGAGTGGGGCTTTTTCAGGAGCCCCAAACCTGTCTATTCTCTCCAGTGGTTGCTAGGTAGCTGGGTTCCACAGCTACTATGTTATGAGGCTGTTGACTTTCAAAGCTACCATAGAGCTGGGAAGAAGGGGATCAGAATAGGGCAAGTTATAATTCTGAAAAGCTCCCTGTTCTTACTGGGATTCAGCCCTTTTTCTTGATTAAATGTTCCTTAGATTGTTGCGAGCCTTTGGTTAATCTTCAGAGTTCTGAAAAAGTTGATTTTGAAATTTTTTGCCAGAGTTCTCATTGCTTTTATGGAGGGAGTGGATTTTTGGAGGTTCTTAGTCTGCCATTCCATTCTCTGGTGGAATTTTGAAGTTTCCTTTCTATAGATATTATACATTTTAAATTGGTTTATTTGGTTTTCTGTGTGTTGAGTTGTATCTTTAAATACTTTGGATCTAACCCGTTATTAGATATACCATTTGCAAATATTTTCTCACATCCAGTAGGTTGTCTTATTTAGGAAACCTCTTGATCATTGTACATTAGTTTGGTATACAACCGTTTTGTTAAATTGTCATCTTGCTTATAATAGTTTTGTTGGTGGTGGTTCTGAATTTTCAGGTAAATAAAGGTGTTTTCTACAAATAATGATACCTTTGCCATCTTTTTC